AGGTAGCAGAGAGGGATGATTGATGAGACTCAGCTTGCTCTCTCTTTTTCCTCTTTTTATTTAATCCTGCATTCCAGCTCCTGGGATGATTTCACTACACCCAGTTGTGCCTTCCCCAGTTAAACAAGCCTGGAAACACCCTTTCTCACATATCCAGAGCTGTATCTCTCTGGTGAGTATAAATCCACTCAAGTAGACCATGAAGAAATAACCATGACAATGGGCATCAAGGTAGATTCATATGACAATTAAACACTAATAAAATACCTGCCCATAATGGGTTTAAATTCTACAAGGAGGAGATAGACAACAATATTACTAACAAAGAAAACCTTTTTGGTTTGTTTGTTTTTAGTTTTTTGAGAGAGGGTTTCTCCTTGTAGCCCTGGCTGGCCTTGAACTCACATAGATCTGCCTGCATCTGGTGAGATTAAAGGCCAGCCCAGCCAAAGAAAATCTTCTTAAGAGGTAAATATGATTTGGGGAAATGCAGAGCAGGTAAGGAGAGCTGCAATAGGAAACTGTTTTAAGTATGACTGTTAAGGAGAGTGCGTCTAACAGGAACTCCTCCTTCACCCTGTTGACTGCATGGGCTTCAGTTTGCATCCTAGAACTATCTTCCATCTTTGTGACGTTTTGTCGGCACAGAACCCAGGGTTGCAAGTGTGGAACAGGGGCTCTTTTGAGAGAGAAGCTCTTGGAGATCAAGTATCTTGAGGCTGAAAATTGTTTACTGTGAAGAAGTGAAGACAGAAAAGCTGGCCTTTGTACAGCACACTGAACACTTGCAGCCAAGGATGGCAGCTGTTGGGCTCTGTGGAGCAAACATGTCCCTAGCAGCTGGTACTTACACAGTGATAGGGAGCCAAAACCCTTAATGAGAGGCTTGTTTCCCACCTCTGCCCACAATGGAACAACATCCGTCTTTCTCTAAGTAGAGCTTGCACTTAATCTGGGCAGACTGATGGAACAGCTCAGGAGTAGGCAACATTTGTAAATGTTTTAAGTACAAAAGATTTTGCTGTGATGGCTTCAGAGAGTCTTTTGTGAGTTTTGAGGGCCACAAATTCTAGAGAGAGCAATAAGATGTCTTCTCTAGACAGAAGCTCTAAAGTTAAGCTACAGTCTAACCCTTACAGCTCCACTTACTGAAAAGCCATTTGCCCACCCTAACCCCCATCTTCAGTTTTTTCCTGACACCATTGTGATAATCTTTCATTCTGTGATTGTGTCTCTACCTAGTCTTACATTGTAAGATTGGGGAATTTTCGAGAGTATGAGAAATTCTAATAGCATCATTATATATTGAAAATTCAAGTATATATTCAATAAATATTTATTGCACATCTTCTAAGTGGCATATTTTGTCCTCTGTGATTGGAACAAAGTATGTTCTTTCCTCATAGTTTATATGCCTAAAGAAGCCATCTCAAGAGTGGCTTCTTTAGCAGAAGGACATTTGGACTGTTCCTAGTGTGAAGAGATCATGAATAAACTACTATAAATGTTTACATATAGATTTTTGTTTTGGTTTGGTTTTTCAAGACAGGGTTTCTCTGTATTGCTTTGAATCCTGTCCTGGAACTCGCTCTGTAGACCAGGCTGTCTTCGAACTCACAGAGATCCGCCTGCCTCTGCCTCCCGAGTGCTGTGATTAAATGCGTGCGCCACCAACGCAAGGCTACATATAGGGACCTACCTTTATTCCCCCTGGATAGATACCCAGGGGTTTGAGATTGCTACATACAATGATAAACACGGGTTTAATTCTACAAGAAACTATGCAAGTTTAAGGTTGATACCAGATTTATATTCTGGTGAACAAAACACTATGATTCTAATTGCTTTACATTGTTATTTGTTTAGATTTTTAGCTCTCTAATAGATGTAAAGGGGAATCTCATTACAGCTTTTAGTGTGCTTTATAATTAAAAGTTTTGATACTCTTTTCCTGGGGTATTTGCATTTATCTCTTCTCTTTGGTAAGATGTCAGTTCATATATTTTGTGTTTTCTAATTGTACTTTTGTTCTCTGCCAGGCTGTGTTAGTTACCTAAGGTTATGGCAATGTATTAGCACAGATGCAGTGGCTTACAACATAGCAATATGGCAATATATGCTCTTATAGTTTTCACAGCTTGTCTTAGCTAGGGTTTCTATTACTGTGAGGAGACACAATAACCATGGCAACTCTTATAAAGGAAAAACATTTAAGTGGGGCTGGCTCACAGTTCAGAGGTCTAGTTCGTTATCATCATGGTGGGGATCATGGTAGCATGCAGGCAGACATGCTGCTGGAGAGGTAGCTGAGAGTTCTACATCTGGATCCTCTGTAGCATGAATTCTAATTGTTCTTAATAATAAAACCCAGAGACAGATATTTGGGTTAAAGCTGAAGATCAGAGAAGCAAAGCAGCCAGCCACTAGCCCTTACCTCTATCTCAGACCAAAGGGGCAATCCTGTCCTCAGATTGCACGTCCAGACTGCATCTGTCTCCACCAAACTTCAGACTGCCTAGAGTGCACTGAGCTCCTGTCTCCTCACTCCTTATATTCCTCTCTCCACCCAACCATATCACTCCTGTCTCTACCTCCCTAGTGCTGAGATTAAAAGTGCGTGATCCCAAGTGCTGAGTTCACCTTTGTGTGAGTTCTGTTTCTCTTTTAAACTGGATCAGTTTCGTGTAGCACATGGTAGCCTTGAACTAACAGAGATCCATCTGCCTCTGTCTCCTGAGTGCAGGGATTAAAGTTGTGTGCCACCACTGCCTGGCCTCTATGTGTAACTAGTGTGGCTAGCTTTGCACTTTGCTTTTCAGGCAAGCTTTATTTGTTAGATCATAAACAAAATATACCATAATCTTCAGGCAGCAGGAAAGGACTGAAACACTAGGTCCAGCTTTCCAAGAACCCCAAAGTCCACCCCCAGTAACACAGTTTCTCCAACAAAGCCACACCTCCTAATAGTACTACTTCCTATGGTCCTATGGGAGCCATTTAAATTCAAAGCACAACAGAGCTATCAGTTAAACTGAGCTTTTTGGGGTGTCAATTGAGATGTGGCCATGGCTTGCTCCTTCTGGAAGTTCCAGGAGAGCACTCATTCCCTGTCTCTTTCAGTTTGTGGTCACTGCTGGTGTTCCAGGGCTACTGCCTCTGCTTTGTGGTCACACTTCATTCTTCTGTCTGCAGATGACCTTTTCTGCCTCACTCTCTCATTAGAATACATATGACTGCATCAGAGACCTAGATAATCTGAGATGATGTTCTCAGTTCAAGTTTTCACAGAATCCCACCTGGAAAGTCCTTTTTGATATTTAAGACCACATGCCTAGGGCACAGGGGTCAGGACCTGAAGAACTCAGGGTTTATACTCAGCAGTAATACTCTATTCTGCCTACCCTATTGACTTCAAGAGTTCTTCATATATCTGCTATAGTCTTTTAACAGATATTTGCTTCATATATTTTTGTTTCCTGTCTGAGACTTATCATTTTATTTTCTTAACTGGGTCTCTTTTGCTTTGTTTTGTTTTGTTTTTGAGACAGGATCTTACTATATATCTCAGGCTGGTTTCAAGTTCATTATCCTTCTGATTTAGTTTTCCAGATGCTGGAATTATAGATATTTGCCACCACACTTGACTGAATACTAATTCTTTTCATTGTTGTTGTTATTGGTGGTGGTGGTTTTTTGAATACAAGGTTTCGCCTGTGAAAAATGGAACTTGATATATAGCTCTGGCTAGTTTGAAATTTTAATGAATCCCCCTTGTTCTGCCTCCTGAATGCTAGAATTGTCCATGTATCATGATGACTAGCCTTAACTATGTTTCTTGGTGAATATTTTTCTATTATTTTGATGAGCTCTAATTTTTACATTTTATAAACTTTTATACCATGATTTAAACTTTGTCCTAAGCTAGGTATAAGCTAAGGTCACCATCTGTTCAAAAACTTTATTTTTTTTGTTGTTCAATTACTTTTGCATCCTGTCAAAAGCAGCTCAATATGTTTGTTTATTTCTGGCTTTCATTCTGCTCAGTGGATTTATGTGTCAGCCATGTCACCTGCTCATCTGGTTTACTATAGCATTATAGGAAGTAAGGAAATTTGATTGTCTGAGTCATACAGCTCTGTTCTTTTGAAATATGGATGTTTCTTCAAAATTTCAATTTGCAATTGTTTTTCCTAATCTATGGAAGCATAATTGATGCTGTATATTTTATTTTTGTCTTGGACCGTTTAGTTTATGAAAATCTTTGGGAGCTTTATATAAACAATCATGCTGTCTGTGAAAACAGGATTCTTTCTTTTTTGCATCCAACCCCAAATCCTTGTATCTTTTTCTTTCCCTGGTTGCACTAATTACTCTCCCCCACCTACCGACCCCACCAGATGATAGTGAATAGCAGTGTTGACTGTGGGCATCCTTGCTTTGCCCACAGTCTTGTCTTGGAGAGGGGAAGCATTCATTCTGGTATGAAATATTGGTGTGACTGGACTGGCTCAGCATCTCTCACAAGGCTGTAATCCACATTATGTCTAGAGGTACCAGATACGATCTGTCATGGGACATCTTTATTGAAGAAGTCTCTGCTTTTTGTGCTTCTCTGCTTTCTTGCTGATGGGATTTTGTTCTTCCCACGCCTCTGCACTGAGGGCCTTGGGCCCTTGCTGTCCAGTGTTAGACATATGCCACTCTCCATTCTTTACCACATGCACCTTCCTATGGTAGTCTCCCAATATGACAGCTGGCTTCCATCACAACAAGCTAAGGAGAAAGAGAGGGTGAGCATTTGATGACAAAGTTAGAATTAAACCCACCAATCTGCTCATGACAATTTTGTTATCATTGTAATTTTAATTATCATACCATATTGTATGTGTTTTATGTACTTGTACTTAAAATCTTTTTTGTTCATGTTTATTTATTTGTGCATGAGTAAAGTAATCTTTAGTTGTACTTGTTCTGTTAACTTTACTTGAAATGAGCCATGCTATATGTTGTCCAATACAACATATAGGTTAAAAAATCCTGTTTTTTATTTAAAAAATATTTTTCATTTTACATACCAACACCAGTTCCCCCTCTCTCCCCTTCTCCCACCCCCACCTCTCCCCATTCCCATCCCCTGTCCACTCCTCAGAGGGGGTAAGACCCTCCTTGGAGAGTCAACAAAATCTGCCATACCAAGTTGAGGCAGGACCAAGACCCTCTCTCCTGCATTAATGCTGAGCAATGTATCCCACCATATGGAATGGATCCAAAAAACAGTTTATGCCCCTGGGATAGGTCCTGGTGCCACTGCCAGTGCCCCTCCCCCAACAGATCAAATCACACTAATGTCATCCTCATTCAGAGGGTCTAGTTTGGTCCCATGCAGGTTCCCCAACTGTCAGTCCCACTAGCTCAGGTCAGCTGTCTCTGTGGGTTTCCCCATCATGATCTTGATGCCCCTTGTTATAAGATCCCTCCTCCTCCTCTTCAACTAAACTCCAGGAGTTCAGCCCAGTGCTTGGCTGTGGTCACTGCATCTGCTTCCACCAGTTACTGGGTGTAGGTTCTACGATGACAATTAGGGTAGTAACTAATCTGATCACAGGAGAAGGCCAGTTCAGACACCCTCTCCATTATTGCTAGGAGTCTTAGCTGGGATCATCCTTGTGGATCCCTGAGAATTCCGCTAGCTCCGTAACCCCCTAATGGCTCCTCTTTCAACATATCTCTGCCATTTCTCTCCTCTCCATCCCTCCGGCATTAGGTCTTCTGGATCATGTTCCATTCCCCATTCCCTCCCTTCTACACCCCTTCCAGTTTGCCCAGGAGACTTAATTATTTTCCTTTCCTGGGGTCTTCCATGTATGTTCCCCTTAGGGTATCCTTTTTGCCTAGCTTCTCTGGGGTTATGAACTGTAGCCTGGTTGTCCTTTGCTTTATATTTAATATCCATTTATGGGTGAGTACATACTGTGGTTGTCTTTCTGGGTCTGGATTACCTCACTCAGGATGGTTTCAACAATATAGTCATTCTTTTCCAAATTGATATACAAATTTCATGCATTTCTAACAAAAATTACACCATATTTGCAACGGTACTTGACAATCAGATTGGAACCAAATTTCCAATACAAAGCAGGGGATTTCTAGACTCTCCCAGAGCTCACTGAACTCAATGAAGGATATATACTCTTAGGTAATAGTAGTGAAATACCTGATTATGTAATTTGAAAACCAATATGAAAAATAAATTCCCCGTGAGTCAGCTTGCCTCGAAGTGATGGTGTAGATCTTAATCCCATAACATGTGAGGCAGAGGTAAGTTAAATAACAAGTACTAGGCCAGCCA